AGGGGGGTATTCCATACCCCCCAGACCCCCCGGTTGGCGCCTTCGGGCTGGTCAAGGTTTACGCCCTAATAGAGTACCCAGTCCGCCCCTGACTATGAAGATTGTCTACCAAGCAGTGAGATATACAGTCAAATAAAAAATCAAGAAAATGTTGACAGTGAAGTATTATGTTGTTTGTGATGTGAAATGATAGATGAAGAGACTATCAAGATTTTTCTACCATGCAGTGAGATATACAGTCGAATGAAGAATCATGAGAGTGTCGACATTGAAGTGTTACATTGTTTGTGAAGTGAAATGGTAAAAGAAGTAGAAGAGACTATGAAATTTGTCTACCTTGCAGTAAGATATACAGTTAAATAAAGAATCAAGAGAGTGGTGACATAACAGTGAAGTGTTACATTGTTTGTAAAGTGAAATGATAGAAGAAGAGACAATGGAGATTGTCTACCATGCAGTGAGATATACAGTCAAATCAAGAATAAAGAGAATTGTGACAGTAAAGTTTTACATTGTTTGTGAGGTGAAATGATAAAAGAATAGACTATCAAGATGTGTCTACCATGCAGTGAGATATGCAGTGGAATGAAGAATCAAGAGAGTGGTGATAGTGAAGCGTTATATTGTTTTTAAAAGTGAAATGAGAGAAGAAGAAACTATGAAGATTGTCAACCATGCAGTGAGATATACAGTGGAATCAAGAATCAAGACAATAGTGACAGTGAAGTGTTACATTGTTTGTAAAATGAAATGATGGAAGAAGTAGAATATACTATGAAGATTCTATACTATGCAGTGAGATATACAGTGGAATCAAGAATCAAGAGAATGGTGTCAGTGAAATTTTATGTTGTTTGTGAAGTGAAATTATAGAAGAATATACTATCAAGATTTTTCTACCATGCAGTGAGAAATACAGTCGAATGAAGAATCAAGAGAGTGGTGACTTTGAAGTGTTACATTGTTTGTAAAATGAAATGATGAATGAAGTAGAATAGACTATGAAGATTGTCAACTATGCAGTGAGGTATACAGTGGAATAAAGAATCACGAGAGTGTTGACAGTGAAGTGTTACATTGTTAGTGTCAGTGGTCAGCGTGCCGGGCTGATATGCTGAAAGTCCCGGGTTCGAATCTCGCTGGTAGCATTAACTTTTCGTCCAAGACTTTTTCATTATCAGCAAGTTTGGTTGGATTGGTTCGGTTATGACAGTTTAATTTTATTATTAAGTCATTATAAAATTTTAATTGAGCAATTTCTAGTTTTATTTAATAAACAGAATTATTTTTTTATTACTAAACTTTTGGTATATTATTTCATTATCAGCAAGTTTGGTTAGTTTGGTTAGGTTATGATCGTTTAATTTTATAATTAAAAAATTATAAAATTAAATTTGAGGCATTTATAATTTTATTTTATGAACAGAACTATTTTTGCGATTAGTAAACTTTCATTGCCAAAGTGCTCTCTACTACAGCGCTGTTCACGGAAGAATTTTGAACTAATGCCTCATTCGTACCTCCCCTAAGTCAGACCCTAATCTCAACTCAATGTCTGTGAATCATCATAGAGTATGATAGATTCGATTTCGTCGGCTATATGAGATGAATTGGTTATATCATAGATAAAACATATGTTTTATCTATGGTTATATCAAAGGTTGTCGGTCATATGGGACCCACCAGTACCACCCACCACCCACCCCCTACACGAACAAAGTCTGAGCATAGATAAAACATACTCCTCAAGTATGTTGAGGAGTATGTTTTATCTATGGTCTGAGCTAGCATAATACGGGGTGACCCAAAAAAACAGGGACGATTTTAGAATGTTTTTACTCAGCTGTTATAAAGGCTAGATAGCTCATTGTTGTGGCAAATGAATGTTTATTTGATGCCATTTATAGTTACTGCGGATCATCAATGGTTGCCGCAATATCGTGCCTTTGTCATTAAGACTTTTTTCAAGAGTAATTTGTCCTATCATTTCTAATCAACGTCAATTTTGTGTTCACTTCAACTTTGGCCATAATGGTGCAACCCCAAACCGAATAAACTACTCAAAGATGGGTAAACAATGCCCTAAACACGGCTTTTGTACTCAAAATTAAACCTATGCAAATTTAAATTTCAATGCAATGTTTTGCAAACGGTTGGCTTTCGAAACTCGACGCAGCACACTCGCACAAACCATTTCAATGTTTTCCGGCGTTCGAACAGTCCGAGGTATCCCACTAGGTTTGACTTTGAGTTCAGAAGCCGTGTTCTGGAAATTAATTACCCAACTTTGATTAGTTTTTCGGTTTGGGGCTGCACTATTACGGCCAATCTTGTAGTGAAAACGAAATTGACGTAGAGTAGAAATGAAAGTCAAATTATTTTTCAAAAAAGTCTCTATTCATTTATTCATTTCTACGGCAAATACCATTAAACAATACATAACAAAACAAGATGGTCTGCAAAAATAAGTACAAGAATGCAAATATACATGGAACAATACATTCAAGAGACTAGACAGATTGTTAGAATGATCCGACTCATTACAAAATAAAACATGCATAAACAAGTAGAATAAATAGTTACAGACTAACATTACAAGAGACATCATGTTATACTAATTGTAACGACAGAATAAATACTCAATACAAAAGATTATACAGGGTGTTTTTTTTTTAAACTTGCATCTTTATTTATGTAAAAACCGCAATAGATAGAAATATGCAGTTTGCGGGAATCATCTATTGACGTAGGGGGCCCAATTGTTTTGAATTCAACGTTACATTCATATTCCCCCCCTGCCCCCAACTTATTTTTTTTAAATAGCAAGGTACCCCTTGTGACATATCAAATAAAAGAGCATGAAAAAAGAAAATGTTTGATGAAAAAAATTGAAAATCGGTTTATAAATCTGTGAGATATTCCCCCCCTCCCCCCTTGGAACTTAATTTTTTTTAAAGCAAGGTACCCCTTGTGACATATCAAATGAAAGAGCATGAAAAAAGAAAATTTTTGGTGAAAAAATAATTAAAATCGGCTCAAGAATTTGTGAGATAATCCCCCCCCTTTTCCCCTACCCATAACTTGTTTTTTAATAGCAAGGAACCCGCCCTTGTGACATATCAAAAGATAAATAAATTTCACCAAACATTTTCTTTTTTCATGCTATTTCATTTGATATGTCACAAGGGGTACCTTGCTATTAAAAAAAAAAATAAGTTCCGGGGAAGGGGGGGGGTAATATCTCGCAAATTTATGAACCGATTTTCAATTTATTTTCATCAAACATTTTTTTTTTCATGCTCTTTCATTTGATATGTCACAAGGGGTACCTTGCTATTTAAAAAAAATAAGTTGGGGGCAGGGGGGGAAAGGGGGGGAATGTGAATGTAACGTTGAATTCAAAACAATTGGGCCCCCTACGTCAATAGATGATACCCACAAACTGCATATTTCTATCTATTGCGGTTTTTACATAAATAAAGATGCAAGTTTTTTTAAAAAACACCCTGTATACATGAAGAAGCAAAATATAGTTTAAGACTGACATTACAAGAGATATTCATATCACTAGTTATATAACAGAATAAATACCACAACAAGAAAAATAAAATACAAGACAGGAACAAGGCAAATTAATCAAATTTTACATGACTCATATTCTCTGTAACTTCGGTAGGATTCAACCAGTCAGGAGCTCGAGAGCACACTTACGGACCCGTTGAAGACTGTCAAAGAATAGGTCACACTCCGACGCCACTTGGTTTCCCAGTCTTACAATACAAGAGTATAACTCTCAGTACTCTCTATGACAAAGGCATGATGTTGCGGTAACCATTGATGATCCACAGTAACTATACACTAAATGGCATCAAATAAACTTTCTTTTGCCGCATCAATGTACTCTCCTGCAACCCGTCCACGCACACAGAAATTTTTGCCAATCTATACCATTTACCCTTACCCAGTTCATCTCTAAACTGTAAGGTTTTTTTCTATTTTTCTGCTAGTCGTTCTGCCATTTCTTTGAGCAAGGTTTGAAACCTATAACTTTGCAAGCAAGCAAGGTTAATGCAACCTATGCCTTAATCATTCAGTGAAAATATCCATTTCAATATTATTTACTGAATTATATGCTTTATAAATTAAGTCATTGAGTGATTTTTTTTATTCACTTGATCTGTAATACTAACCGGACATGCTTTTTTTCCACAGCCGTCCGTCCACAACCACAACAGACAGTAGTTCTTCCGGTCCTTTTACTAACCAAACTAACCTCCTCAACACCTCAACTAGTGATGTGACGAGTCGGGTACTTTCCTGACTCGAGTGACTCGACTCGCCAACTGCCGTGAACTCGAGTTACGAGTCGAGTCAGACTCAACTCGAGACGTTCCGAGTTCGTGTGAGTTCGGCATTCTCCGTACGAGTTCGTTAGTTTTGCGAGTCGGCCGACTCGGTACCGGCCAATAGCGTGTCAGCTTTACGAGTCGACTCGACTCGACTCGAGACGTTCCGAGTTCGTGTGAGTTCGGCATTCTCCGTACGAGTTCGTTAGTTTTGCGAGTCGGCCGACTCGGTACCGGCCAATAGCGTGTCAGCTTTACGAGTCGACTCGACTCGACTCGAGACGTTCCGAGTTCGTGTGAGTTCGGCATTCTCCGTACGAGTTCGTTAGTTTTGCGAGTCGGCCGACTCGGTACCGGCCAATAGCGTTGAATCTATGCGAGTTGACTCGTAAAGCTGTGACGCTATTGGCCGAAAGCGAGTGCGAGTCAACTCGTTACGTCCCGAGTTCGTTAAGGTTCGGCTTTCTCCGTATGAGTTCGGTTTCTTGACTCGGCTTTTGCGAGTCGGACTCGTAACGTTACGAGTTCGTGTAGCTTCGGCAATCTCCGTACGAGTTCGTAAAAGAACTCGAGTTGGAATTGAGTTGACTCGAGTTGACTCGACTCGGGTCTTGACTCGAGTCAACTCGACTCGCCAACTCAACTCGTCACATCACTAACCTCAACCTCTCTCTTTGTTTCCGTGTAATTTTGGAGATACACAGGACCCGATATGGTAAGATGACAATTTCATCCAATTTAATACATTTAATCTTGTCATAAATAATTTCAATTACTATCTCATGGTAAAATAGAATATTTAATACATTCTCAATGCTTGTGTATATCAATTGTTTTCGTTTTTACTACAGACAAAAAGTGAAATAAATGGGGAGCTCAAGTTAAGATTGGTTCCTCCATAAATGAAAAGTGTTAGCTACTTAACTCCCTAGTATTTTTCTACATTATATTATTCACCTTTAATTAGCTTAGTTGTCATTCAAGCGTTTCCATTAACCCAGGACTACATGTATTGTTAATTTTTATATTTGTGATTTTAACTTAACTTAGCCTAGCCTACTAGGCCTATGCCTAGGCTTTAAGTTGCGTTCATTAGAAAGGTCTAGGTCTACACAGAAAAGCGCCTCATCCATTCTCAAATCAAAGTTTTGCAATCTAACTTAAGTCAGGCCTTTAGTCAGAATTAAGAATGAATGATTGGCCACATTTTAGTCTAATTACAAACTTCATCCTATTAGGCCTAGGCCTAACTTATTGTTTGTTCCCACAACTGATAGGCTAGGTAGAAAGTTTTGGGTAGGTGTATGGCTCTGGGGAGTGGGATTTTTTAAGCGAGATTTATCCCTATTCGGGGAAATTTCTTCAAACTTTTGATCCCTTTCAGGGATTTTCTCCAGTTAAAAATAAAACAAATATATTTTATTCAAAGAATATCCATCTACCCCTTGTAATTAGAAAGGGGGGGCTCGTAGGGGGACGGCGATGGTCCCATCGAATTCCTCGCCCCAAAAATAGTAGGGCTACTTGGTTTATACAGCTGTAGATACAAACTGGAGAAAATCCCTGGAAGGGATCAAAAGTTTGAAAAAATTTCCCCGAATAGGGATAAATCTCGCTTAAAAAATCCCACTCCCCAGAGCCATACACCTACCAAGTTTTGGGGTAGGCTAGGCTTACTTTCTTTTTTCCTTGTTTTGTCAAATATTGGGTTTTTTGACCAAGTAAGTTAATTAGGCCTATTGAGATAGGCTAACTTACCCTAGTCTACGATTTTTACATTACTGGAGAAAAAGCAGTCGTAAAACTGAAAAAAAATTGATTTTTTTACCAGTTATTGAGATAACTTAGGCCTACGGTAACGATTTTTCCATGGTAAAAATTCAATTTCCACAACTCACCTAATACGCACTTCCTTAAGTGTGAAATTGTGTAAAAAGTGTAGGCCTACTGTAAAAGAGTTCTCTAGGAAGGTACCACCCCACGCGGAGACGTTGAAAGAGCACTGCCGCTTTCTCTTCTTCAACAACCGGCGTCGACAACGAAAAGTAAGATCCTCCATGACCAGCGGGCACAAATTATCACATCGAGTGCAAGCACTTTCCTGGCTCATCACACAGTGATTCACCATAAACAAAACAATTTCAGTCCGCGATCTACGCACACTGTCCAAAAACTTTACTTCACAAGAGTCACACTGAGGTTCGTTAATGTCAGCCATCTCGGAACAAACTACTAAAACTGGCAAAAACTGACCGAACCAAGACGAAGCACTAGGCCTACAGCCAAATACCCCAGGAATCCTAGGCATGTGGTGAAGGGGGCTGGACATTATGCGGGTTCTTGGCTGCATTAAGTCCTTTAAAGGTAGGTTAGATTAGTGAAGTTAAAGTATAGGTTATAGTTTACCGGGCTGTTTATTTATGTAAAATCTAACATCGTTTCATCACTGATGGAACATTGGCTAAAAACAACGACCGGTATCATTTCAAAAATACAATCATTTTTGAAATTGTTACCTCGTTGTTTAAGCCCCGCCAACTAAGCTATAACCTATACTTTACCTTACTAATCTAACTTAACCTAAGTATTCAAGAAACAATTTAAAAAATAGGGGGTGGCCCTGGCTACGGTACTTAATTTAATAAGACTTAATGAGAATTTATTAATGCCATTAAACTTATTACAGTAATAGGCAACGTCAAACAGTACAACACATAGGGTTGTATGTAGCATTTTTTGAGTGTTTCAGATAGGCCTAGGCCTACTAAGTTACTTTATCCACATGCCATTGGTGGCTTAACCTACAAGTTTAAAAAATCTTCTACAGTGTTAAAGGCATTTGTTTTTAAGAATGTCATTACATACGATTTAAAATTATTTATAGACAGAGTTCTAATTTGTAATGGTAACTTATTGAACAATAGATAGACCTACTGTTGATAATGGTAACTTTTGAAGGTTTTACTTAGGCCTAATCTAATATAAGGTGTAACAATATTATGTTTAGTTTTTTTTATTTCTACACCAATGGCATTTCACGAGAGAATAAATGTTTAGTGGATGTGCCGGGGTTTGAACCCGTCCCTCCCGCACCGAAATCCGAGACGCTAACCACTAGGCTAGCAACACAACCACTTAGTTCTACTGCTTAGTTAGTGTTGTGATGATGATTGCTGTGCTGCATGGGAAAGTTAACTAAATTTTCTTTTACATACATAAGGTTGGAAAAAACATATCAAGTGATGGCAAAGTTAAAATATTGAGCTGAATAATAATAATAATATTTTAGTCGGTAAGTGTGCACAGTACACGTGTAGAGTAAGGGGCAGCTGAGTTGGCGATGTCGGACAGGCAGGCAACTACTACCCTTTTGCGAACCTAGGCTCATAGCCCGTCCTTACCAAAAACATTTCTCATGTGGTCCCGGTCGTCCCCTTCCGCGTCGCGTAGCGCTATTCTCGAGTCAAAAGTGTAGTTACTCGAGTTTGAGCTTTTATTGCAATGTAGGCCTAACCAGTAGAATTTAAAAAATATAAGTTGGATAGAAATTTTACAAATTTAATTAGGTATAGGCCTACGTTTATGTGTTTTATAATTTTCATGTTTTGAAAGATTTGAGACCAGTAATCACATGTCTAAATACAATGCTCTCCTAAATTTAAGTCGAATATCACGTGTGTACAGTCTGTTTTAACGAGTTTTTGGGGACGTCGGCTTAACAGGAAAACCCGTTATCCGGACTGGCCTCGGTCCCGAGGAGTCCGGATAAGAGGGAGTCTACTGTAATTAACTTCTACTAATTTAATAGCATTTACAGAAAGTTAGTCATAACACGTTTAATACACTTTAAACATATATTTACACTACGTTGGCCTATTGGGTTCGTTGATAATAAAATTGACCACTTGAAATAGATCACAACTTGTACCATATTTGATATAATTATAGTCCTATAAGTAGGCCTAACCAGTATATGTGTTTAAATGTTATTGGACATATTTTTATTAATTTTCATAAGTAAAACTCCTAAATTCACAAAAAATAAATTTAAACATTGGGTTTACAATCCAACCCCGTTAATCCCGGGATTGAGACACCCACCCATAACTTATGAATAATTTTAAAAATTGTTCATAAATCTATTGTTGTTTTTACTAGTAGGGCCTACCATAGGCAAATAGAATAAATATAGTCTGACCGCAGTACTGCAGTTAGAATATATTCTGGCACCCACCGCTATGAGTGCCGTCCTCACCCTTCCTTTGACAGTCTATATTTAAATTCTATTTGTCTATGCTAGTTACGCACATTTGTTAGTAAGTAGGGCCTATGCAAAATTCAAAAATCCTACCTTATAGAATAGTGTCTTTTTAGGTTTTGAAATAAATTAGAGTGTTTTTATGTCTTCATGTCACTCAAAAGATAACACCAAGCACTATTGGTTATCAAATCGAAATACCATATCTTCCACAAGGAATTAAAATAACCTAGGCCTACAGTTTTCTTCATGTCAAAAAACAATAATAACATCAACTATTTACATCATAAAGTCATAAGTAGAAACCTAAAAACACACAATCACTTGTTGACAAACAACAGGCTATTATTTAGGCATGTGGTGAGGGTTTATGCGGATTCGTAGCTGCACTAGGTAAATATTTTGATGTTAAGATTGTTAAGTTAGATTAGGAAGGTAAAGCGGCTAGGTTATAGGTACCGGTATTCTGGTTGTTTATTTACACCCATATTGGTTTTTTTATCTTTTGGAATAGTTTGTTAAAAGAGACGATTTTAAAAATGCAAAAGCGTAGGCTAATTTAATTGAAATTGTTTCCCTGTTGTTTGGCAGTTAAGACACTTAAAACCTAACTTAATTGTTATGTTATTGATAAAAATCTGTTTGTAGGGGAAGGTAAAGTGTTCGGAGCTGAGGACAAAAGACAAGAAGGAGCTGTTGAAGCAGCTTGAAGAACTCAAAACTGAACTCACCAACCTTCGAGTTGCCAAAGTCACTGGAGGAGCGGCTTCTAAGCTATCCAAAATGTACGTATCATTAACTTATTCCCATTTTCTTCATGGTAGCATAAAATTAAAATATAATGATTTTAATTAGTGTACATTTTGCTCGGATTCGAGCAATTGCAAAGTATTACAGGAGGAATTGAATTGAATTGAATTGAACTAAGCATGTGCTTAGTGATAACAATCTTAAAGATCAGGACATCACTTTTTAACCCTGATTTGGCTGACCTTAAAGAGGTGGAAAAACCAAAATTCTCCCTACAAATTGTTGTTAATTAAAGCTTAACACTCCTTGTAAACTCTTTGTCAATTATTCTTATTGTCATTACAATATTAATTACATGTTCAATCTAGTAAACTTAGTAGTAGCCTACATTGAAATTATTTGGTGTTGTTTCATCCTGTGTTTTCATCAGTCCTACTTACTTTTAAACTTCCATTATAGAACAAATACTGATATCATGGTAAATATACTGTAAAATTAATTTTTACAATTTTTTCCTGAATTTGAATAATCGTAAGCCTTTGTTATGACAAAGTATAAATAAATATGACAAACACCAGTATATATACCCATAAATATATAGGTATGTGAGGTACGTCAATTGTTTGGTCACAGCATCTTTTAGCACAAAAACGTACAGAATTTTAGTTAGTCAAAATGTTATATAGAGGGAAAGAAATCGGCAAGAAATGTTTAAACTTCATCACTGACCTCTTAATTAGAAAACTACATACCTCTATGTGAGTTATTTGGAGGGGGGCTAACTTTCTACACTGAAATGTTGAAAGTCGTTGAAGGCTTTTTTTCCAAAAATTGCCAATGTGGCCCTTGAGGAAAAAAGGTTGGAGACCCCTGGCCAAGAAGATGGGTCCAAATACTAAGTAATTGGGATAATACTTGACAATGCCTTTGGTCTATTCACCTATCACATTCGTACACAACGTGTTTATCTATGTTAATTATTGTTTCAGCCGTGTGGTTAGGAAAGCTATTGCTCGTGTCTACATTGTTATGCACCAGAAGCAGAAGGAAAATCTGAGAAAATTATTCAAGGTAGGCAATTCACAATTTATTTCCTTTAAATTTAGGTACCGTTCTAGTCCTCTCTCCTGGGTACTGTTCTAGTCCTCTCTCCTTGTTTGTGTTTGTGTGTAGGCCCTGCATACAATTTAAAAATTAATTGAATCTTTTTATGAGGTAACTCTGTTTGAATATGAAGTAAAAAAAATACAATAACTACCTACTTAAAATCTGCTAGTTTTTTTTTGTATAGAAAATAACATGTAGGCCTATGGTACCTTAAAAAGTATTTTTTGTGAAATAATTTTTTCACTTATGCCAGAGTTGTGAAAATAGCCTAGTCCTTGTTTCGCATTGGTTAGCTTTGTGTGGTACTTTGTTGGAATGTATCCTAGTTCCTGGGTATCGCTCACAGCAAGGACTACCGAACCTTTTTAGACATTCAACATTATTTAATAGGCCAATTTTAGTAAAAGCCAGAATTCAACTCACATAGATTATTGAGGCTGTTAGGTTGGATCAATTTATCATACGATACATTAACTAATAAGCCATTTGGAAAATTGTTATGTCATTAGAAGTAGAAGCAGTTGTTTAAGCAAGTTGTAAGCAATGTTTTACTATTCAAAAGAGAACCAATCCATTTTAAATGTGCTTTGTGTCTTGAAAATTTGATTAATAATTGTATTTCTTTGTATGAAGATAATGATAAGATAGAAATATAGGCTACTGATTGTAATTGTTGCTGGGTTTGTCGGTGGAATATTAGCTACTGTTTATAAATCAGGGTTCCCACTCAACCAAAACCTTAAAACCGTGAATTATATCAACTGTGTAAAAACCTTGATTTAACCGTGAATTTGTTTTTGAAACCTTAAAACCCCAAATATGTTGCCTGGAGACGACACAAGGGGCGAGTTGTGTGAAACTGAATGCAGTGATCGAGATTGTTGTGTGTGTGTGTGTGTGTGTGTGTGTGTGTGTGTGTGTGTGTGTGTGTGTGAGAGAGAGAGAGAGAGAGGGGAGAGTGGGAGAGAGAGAGAGAGAGAGAGAGAGAGGGAGAGAGAGGGAGAGAGCACATGAGAGCCATAGTGCCTCAAAGCTCATAGTGGTCTCAACTCAAATCTCAAGGCCGTGGCTTGAATTACGTCCTAATTGTATTTTAAATAGGGAATAGCTGATAACAGAATTTCTCGATTCGATACCAGTTCTGGAATAATTCTCACGATTCTCTATACTGATTGTTTTATCATCACCAGAGGCCCAAAACACTTTTTAACATTTTGGTATAAATGTGGCCGTTAATGTAGTACCTCAATCAATCATGGCATGTATCAATGATTTGTAACCCTTTTACAGAACAAGAAGTACAAGCCCCTGGACCTGAGGCCCAAGAAGACAAGGGCAATGCGAAGGGCTCTCACCAAACACGAACGCAACATCAAGACAATGAAGGAAATCAGGAAGAAGCAAGCTTTCCCCCCAAGGAAGTTTGCTGTCAAAGCCTAATTATTAAATTGTTTTAATAAAAAAACTTAAACTTTTTACTTTGGCTTAATTTCCATTTATGATTATATTTAATATTACAAATTAATGTCTCACTCTAAATGGTTTTGTTTTAAAGACAATTAATAACAAATTAAAAAATATATCACAGAATTTGTGTCATACACCACACTCTTTAAACAATAATAAATACAATAACTTCATTCTTTTATCGGTTTGAAAAACGGTTTATGCAACAATCTCAACAAACGGGTTCCTTACTTGACCTACTTACAACCATCTAACTCTATTGTTACAACTGGATCGCGCGCTGTACTGCTCAGAGATAGACGTGTATCGGTCCGCCACTCCCCCCCCCCCCCCACCACTAAGGTTGTTACTGTCTCTCTCTTACTCATTACGTCTTATGGTGTTTCCGCTGGACGCGTTGCAGAAAGTCAACAGTCCCGGAAGGTCAAATAATTTATACCTGTGCCACTAGGTCAAAAACTACAATGTTTGCAGTGTCTGTAGATCAAAAATCCCAGTAAGTCAAATAGTACAGTCCGGGCTAAAAACGTAGTCTATGTTAAAGCAATTGACTTATTGGGAATTTGACCTAATGCAACAGCAGTTTAAATAAAACGAAATAAGATAAAATATAAGTTCAGTTTCGCTGAGTCAACAGTGCCGGAAGGTCAAAAGTATAATCTGTTAAAAACAACGATAGTCCTCTCGACGCATGACTTCAATAATTTCGTGTTTTGGTGTACTTAAAGTTGTGCTAAGATTTTGAAAATTGGCACAGAGCTTCTTGGTTAGTCCTACTCAATGACTATTTTGTTGGAACTTTAAACTATTTACCGATATAATTAATAAAAATTGATATGTATGGTGAAATAGTTTTAAATAGTGATTTCTAACATGAAAAAGTTAGCATGCGAGATTTTTGTTTGTTTTTGGGTTAGAGAGGTTTTGTCTGTGGCAAAGTTGTAGCCAAAAGTGTGATGGGTAAAATATATTTTTTTGAATTTTTTACAATCAGTGGTTCAATAGATAACTTGGGTTGAAGAGTACGGCAAATTTAGCATTTCGCAACGCATGGAAAGAACTACATCGTACGATGCGACTGCTGAGTGGACTTTTAATTTACAGTTCTAAGGACAAGAAAAAGATGAATATACAGATTACCAGTACATTCATATTATTTATAAAACATCTTTCTGTATTACCAGCTTACATTTTTCACTTATATTAATAAGAATACATCACAAACAAGGTATTAAAAATAAGCGGAGAGACACTTTACCTAGTAATTCCTTGGGTTAAAATAAACAGAAAATGAAGGATAACATTTTTTCCAAAATCGTTTCGTTAACCAGATATCCGCCATTTTGTATTTTTTACATACAAATATTTATCTTTACACTTTTCCAACCGATGTTTATGAAACTTGGTATGTACGTTAAGGTAGGAGAGACCCATGTTATAAAAAAAGATTCATCTCGATTCACCCTAAAATTTCGAAATTTAACACTTAACTACAATATAATATACTTTACTATACCACAATATTTACGTATCACCATAAATCTTTAATAAAATAAAACGTCCACTTTTTAAAATCCAAAGTAAATCAATTTAATCTTCCTTTTTTGAAAAATATAGTAAAAAAAATTAAGCGATGTTAAAATAACGACAGGCGAGTTTCGATCTGGGTGTTTAAGGTTTGAACCTAGGAGGATTTAACATTAATTAACATTAATGTTTAATCCTCCTAGGTTTGAAGTGATTGAGAGGAATACATGAAACCGAAGGGGGGAGGTAGCAACAAGTGCACTGGTACTTACTAGTGTCCAATTACAATTTCAATAGTAATTGGGATATCGGATATGGTAAGAATTAGAGAAAACTTTAAATGGGGGACATTCCTTTATTTCTTGTGGCAGTTAAAAATATGATTTTAGTTTTTTGAAATTCAGCCGCCATTTTCCAAAATGGCGGCCAAATTTGAAATTTCTTATGGAACACCCTATATTTTATCATGTTTTCGGATAGAATATGCAATTTAAAAACTTTTTTTAAAATTGACATTTTTTCGATAAACCGACTCGTTTAGGAGTTATAGCCTATGGAAAAATGACTTCCGGTGTACATTTTACATCATGTAGCTCCTAAACAAGTAAGTTTATAGCAAAAATGGGAAGAGTAAAAAAGTCTTACAATTGCATCCACATTCCAAAAAGACCATAAAATTCATTAAAAATATGAATTATATTATTTTAAAAAATGGCGGCAAACTTGAAAAGTGGAAAACTTTTTATTTTATAGTCTTAAAGGAATGTAGATGCAATTCTAAGACTGATTTACTTTTTGCAATTTTGCTCTAAACTTACTCGTTTAGGAGCTACATGATGTAAAATGTTAACCGGAAGTCATTTTTCCATAGGCTGTAATCCTAAACGAGTGGGTTTATCAAAAAAATGTCAAAGCTAACAAAGTTTTTAAATTGCATATTCTATCCGAAAACATGATAAAAAACTAAAATCATATTTTAACTGCCACAAAAATTAAAGGTATGTGCCCCATTTAAAGTTTTCTCTAATTCTTACCGTTTCCGATTTCCCAATGGTGGACTCCGTGAGTTGATCACCCTGTATATATGAATTTGAACGGATGGTGTTTTTGGCCTCTAGGGACCTCAAAACGAAAAATTAAATCGGTCCCGCGGGTCCAGGTGTTACCATAAGTACTACGGTAATAGCTTATTCCCTATATGGGATATTCGCCAAAAACGTAATAGTTATATAGAACAATATTACATTCAACCAGCTGTTAGTTAAAACAAATTATATGGGACTAAAACAAATCAATGATTATAAAGATTCCTTTAAAAATAATTTGAACATCCTACAATTTTACTATGCATATTTAATTAATCTGCCATCCTCATACCTAAGAATTGAATGGATCAATGGTCAGCATTACACATAGTATAAATATGTCAACTCTAAATATGTCTTTAAATTTGTTTCCAAATGCTGAATGTTTACAGCTGTTATGTTAAGCAAATTATATTGTACTAAAAGCTAGCTTAGAAGGTAAGCGTCGGCTGCTAGACTTTTTAAAAATTGAAACTTAATTTCTAAAAAACTGGGACCCTTAATTATAATTATGGCTTTGACATTCCCTAGTTCTCAAAATTATCTTTCTTTCAACACAAAAATAATGAAAATCCGTCGACTGGTTGATTCAGAATGTGAAAAAACCATATTTACGTTTTAATAATATATATGATAGTTTGGACAGGTTTCAACCCTTCCGAGGCGTAATACATTTACACAGTTTATGTGTAGACTACATTATAACTTATAAACTAGTTCCAAAATTAAATGGATCTCCTTTTACAAACGTATATAATAACCAGAAATTTTTAGATCGTCCTTGCGTGTATTTTATGCCACAAATTTTGACGAAAGGCTTTTCATTACATAAACTATACCTATTTACAGTGTTGACCAAACAGTTGGCAAGAAGCATTAATAGATAAGCTATGTACCAAATATGATAATTTTAGCTCTATTCTAATTATGACAAAACACGAAGTAACTAAAAGCAAGTTTTGTTGGTGTAGTAAGCGTTGCAGGAGGTCTACTTTACACTGAATCGACGTTCACTTTTATTGCTTTTGATCTTCCGGCACTGTTGACTCAGCGAAACTGAACTTGTATTTTACCGTATTTCGTTATATTAAAACTGCTGTTGCATTAGGTCAAATTCCCAATAAGTCAATTGCTTTAACATAGACCACGTTTTTAGCTCGGACTGTACTATTTGACTTACTGGGACTTTTGATCTACAGACACTGCAAACATTGTAGTTTTTGACCTAGCGGCACAGGTATAAATTATTTGATCTTCCGGGACTGTTGACTTTCGGCAACATTCCCTTTCCGCTCACAAAATGCGCTATATCTCTGTTCATAGTGGCTCGATTGTCAATTTGTTTACACAGTTGTAATCTGCATGAAATTGGGGAGATTATGGTATATGTTTTATGTCAAAATAATTCTTTTTTAGATTTTATTAATTCTTAAATCTACTAAATACGGTTTGTTATTGCCACTTTTTAAATTAATTATAAAGCTGTTATCAATGATTAATTAACTTAATTTAACAAATACTCTTATGTGTTTAATCTTGTGTTTTTTATGCATTTAACATGTAGGAGAGGACCCATGCTGATCCACAGCTTTAAAATAAATATATTATCCAAGAAAATCAAATTTATGATTTTTGATTGAGTAATACAGTATCTTGAGCTTAACTGATTCAAACAATCAATAAATCAAATTAAAGCCTATACGTTACTGATTTTTAATCATAGAAATGTAGCGTGTCACCGTCCCTAAACCAAGTGTTGTTTTAGTTGTTTTTTGCTTTTGTATTTAGGTCAAGTTGTAACAGTTTCCTTAGTTCTTTTCGGCCTTTTAGGCTGATCTAACGGCGAATCACGTGATTTCAATGCAAGTGTAAGAACAAAGAGATGCGTTGTAGTTACTATGATCACGTATTTGAATGGGGGGGGGGGCACACGGGCTTAATCACACTTCACCCGTTGTACCAATATTAAAACAAGAAATGTGTCTGGCTTAATATTTTTTTTAGTAATTTATTATTATTAAGCCTCTTAAAATACAGAGGTTATCAACTTGTACCAAAAGTGATTTTCTGGTACTCGCTCAAATTATTCCTGACCTCGGGTTCGCCTCATACGTAAACTCGCTCTCACATCCCAGCTTTTTCTTGCACATGAATCTTTAGCGTGCACCGGAAAGACCACTTTCGGTATGTGTTATGAAGTAATACTGTTGTGGAACTCTTTTGGTGGCTGTAGACCTTAACTCAGGCTTTAGTTGAGAAACTTACTCTTTAACCAGAGATTAAAAAAAAAACAATTGTGTAAAACTTCAACTGGTATTCTGCGAGGTTCGATTGAACGGAACTATTATTACTACTATCAGTTCAGATTTGAACATAAACTTGAAGTAACCGGCATACAA